GGCAGGAAACCACAGGACAGGCGACCCCGGTGCACGTAACAGAGCCGCTCTGACACACGCAGCGCCTGCAGGGGTCCGAGGGGGTGTCGAACGTCTGTGTGTTTGCATACCTCCGCCCTTCAAACAGACAGTCGTCACACACCGGACAGCAGTGCCTATTGTGCATCGGATGTGTGCACTGCTGAGAACACGGCTTTTTCTCACACAACACGACTCCGCTCTGGAAAACAAATGCAATATGTTAAAAAATGTTTGGTACTATGGTATGGTGATGGTATCAGATGGTAATACCATGATATATTGATATACAGTATACAGTAGCCAGTATGGCAGTATCCTTGCCACTGTCGCCTTTGGCTTTTGGCTTGCTTAGTTCGGGACACTTAATATTTAACAATATTATTGATCTGCCTGCATTGACACCATTATATGATGGATGATGTCATCACTGTGTTTTCTCCAGAGCAGCTATATACAGTATATATATAAATTAATAACTTTTTTACAACAAAAATAAACCATCACTGAACTTACTTCTTCTAGATCTGCTGTACAGCAGAAACAAATTTTATTGCATTATTTTCCTGTTATCACTGTAAAGCTGCTTTGAAACAATCTGTATTGTAAAAAGCGCTATATAAATAAAGGTGACTTGACTTGACAATGTTACTGCTTAATTACCATATGTACAGTACTATGGTATTTGCATGGTACTCGAGAGGGAACACGATAGTACATACTACATGCCCAAAAACATGTTAATACAATGGAATTATTTAAATAATTATTTTATTTTATATTTAATTTTTATTTTACTTTATTTTTAATACATTTAAAATCATTTTTATTTGATATTGTATTCATTTATTTGATATTTTATTTTATTGTTGAAAAAACATGGTATTTTATTGGTTTATTTCAATATTTTTTGTTAATCCATTGTCGATAGTGTATTTTGGCGATAACTATATTTACTATGGTAAATGTCTTACCAGGCATGTGCAGGTAGAGCAGTGGTCGTTGGGTGGGGTGAATGTGGCACTGTTCTCATGCACCTGTCCCAGGTGTTCACATGTCCCTGTGCACACAGGACAGCACTCACCTGGAGGACGCACAGGGCGCTTGCAAGACACTTCTGGACAAGACACGGGTGTGCATGATACACTTCCATTCTACACACATACACAACACAGTATGTGTTAAGTAAAACTACAACACAGTGGCAGCAACAGAAAAATACATTACACAAAAAATGTATAATGATATATGGTTTAAAATGAAGATAAACTTTGGTAACAACGTGGTGTTTATTTGTGTACCAGGCAAATACAGCCCCGGCAGTGGTCGTTGGGATCAGGGAAGCGTTCTCCATTTTCACAATCCCGACTGCGGTATAGACAGCCTTCACACATTTGACATGCGCAGGGGTCCCGCTGAGGGTGAGGGCAGGAGATCGTGGGACAGCTTTTAGGAGAGCACTGAACCTCACCTCTCTGATCAACAAAAACATCCAGCCCCCACTATTAATTCACATACACTCACATAAAACGTAATTGCTTTGATTAATTTTATACAGATATAATGATAGAAAGAATGATAGATAGAACGGCAGAACGATATACAGAATAATAGATAGAACGATAGATAATCACACATGTTCTAATTTGTTACACTGTTTATTTGAATTATGTAAAAACTAAATTTTGCATATATTCCAAGCTAGATAGATAGATAGATAGATAGATAGATAGATAGATAGATAGATAGATAGATAGATAGATAGATAGATAGATAGATAGATAGATAGATAGATAGATAGATAGATAGATAGATAGATAAATACTTACAGAACATCTGCACTCCTCACATGATGCTGTGGGTGATTGGAACGACTCACCATCTGCATAAACTCTTCCCTCAAACTGACAGCCTGTACAATAAACAAACACACACACACAAACACGCTTATGCCACAGCCGCAGCCATGAACCCTAATTTGCAACTTGCAAGTCAGTTGCAGGTGTTATGATGGGGAGGGGTATTCTCATTCTAAAGAGCATCTGATTGGACAAAAATCATTGTAGTGCAGGATGAGTCATCAATACTTTGTTCTCATTTTTATCAGAAGAGAATTACTGTAAAAATGTTATTCTGCTGAAAGTGCACTTTGTTTAGACACAGTGTGATACGGTACCTTCACACACAGGACAACACTGGTCCGCCCTATTGGTGGGGTAACTACATCCTGGATTGTGACATGACCTCCTATTGCAGGTCGCGTGACCATTCATGCACATGCAACGACCGCAGTGATCAGAAGGGTCTGCAAACTCCTGACCGTTCAGGTACTCCACGCCAGCATACATGCAGCCTGAAGAAGGAAAAAATACAACTCATAATAATAATAATGATAATAATAATATCAAATCAATTATAAATATATAAATATATATATATATATATACTCAAACACATACCATCACATTGTGGGCAGCACTTGCCCTGTATAGGGAAAGGACAGGCACTGCGGGGACAGTGATTACGGTCACAGGTCACAGTCCCATCACGACAAACACATGTCCTGCATGGGTCTGATGCATCCTCAAATGTAGCACCGTTAGTGTGTTCCCTCCTATTATACAGACAACCTGCAAAACCAAAGACAGACACATACATATGTGATTGATATATTTGATGGTACCGTTCAGAAGTTTGATCAATCAAAAACTATTCATTTCTTACAAAATGAATTTTTACTGACCCCAAACTTTTGTACGGAACTGTACATGCACAAATATAAATATAAATACTGCTCTCAACATATCAGTATTTCTTGATGAAATATCATTAAAGCTCTCACATACACTTCATAGGGTTTTTATAAAGTGTCTCACCATCACATGTGCGACAGCACTCTTGAATTATGGGGTGAGAGCAGGAGGCAGAGGGGCAGGGCCTGCGCCGGCATGTCATTGTCCCATTGGTGCAGATGCATGATTGACAGCTGTCAGTGGGATGGTGGAACTGCTGCCTGTGTCTGTAATGCTGTCTTTCAACATTGCAGTCAGCAAGGGGTACTGTAAGGAATGAGATAAACACATTTACATCTACATAAAACAAACACGTATGTATATAGGGAGGTGTAATGATGTCACATCAATGTTGGAATTAGGGTAATTTTGAGTTGCTGAATAGTAAATAGCATGTGAACAGCTTAGAGTACAATCTTCAAATTGTCATCTTGTAATTAAGGTTATACAAGAGCAGCAGTGTGACCTGGACACTGGCGGCAGCACTCTCCTGGCGGAACAAACGAATCAGCACAATGCACCGCTGGACATCGCTTCATCAGACACTGGACGTTACCATTCTACAGACAAACACACACAGATACACAACACAGATCTACAGTAAGACTGTGATATGTGTGGATTATGGACACTACCGTTCAAAAGTTATATAATAGTTTTATTCAGCAATGATGTATTATATTGATCAAAAATCACTGTAAAAACAAAAATAGTTTCACAAAAGATTTTGAACATTCTATTCATGAAACACCCTGAACATTTTCCACAAAAATCTTGAGCAGCACAACTCATTTCAACATTGATAATAAGAAATATACATTGAGCAGCAAATCAGCATATTAGAATGATTTCTAAAGGATCATGTGACACTGAAGACTGGAGTAATGATGCTGAAATTTCAGCTTTACATCACAGGAATAAATTCCATTTGAAAATATATTAACATAGAATACAGTTATTTTACAATGTAATAATATTTGATAAAATACATGTATAATACATAAATAAATTAATAATGTAATAATATTTGATAAAATAAATGCAGCCTTGATGATCATAAGGGATTTCTTTCTCACAACCCCAAACATTTGAATGGTAGCGTATGAGAAAGAGACACTTACGGTGCAACGGCACATCCTGCATTTGTCTTCTTGATGTGGAAATTCCATTCCATTTGGATACTCATTACCTGCATATCTACATCCTGAAGGAAAGGGAGAGGAGCTTTATAAGTGACTGGTTTGCATATGCTTACAGGAAAGAGTTTTATTTCTCCTAAACAGAAATGTCATTGAATGGAGAGAAATTCGAGACTATTCAAATGCACACATAGAAAATTCCATTGTTTATGTCTCAATGTCTCAAGCCTTTCTCAAGTTATCTAAATGTGCATTCATTAAGGTAAAAAAATAAATATAAATAAAAAATAAAAAAATAAAGTTAATTTTTGAAACCAAATTTGTTCTAAAGCAATTTTGATGTTTAAGGCCCTCACCATTGCAGTTGTTTTGGCAGCACGTCCCCGGCCGAGGATAGTTGCAGTTCGGCCTTGGACACTCGCGATTCCCACAGTCCACACGTCCATCAGTGCAAACACAATCCTCACATGGATTCCCAGGATTTGGAACTGTACCTCCATTAGTAATGATGCGGTTATCATATTCACAGACTTCTAAGGGAAGAAAATGGCAAGAGGAGACAATAACTGTTAGTGTGCACACTAAGATCAAGTTATCTGGGAATATTTAGTGAAGGTGTACCTGGACACTGGGGGCAGCACTCTCCAGGAGGAGTGTACGGATTAGAACACGTCACTTGTTGACATAATGCTATAGCACACAAAGCCTGACCATCCTACACACACACACACACACACACACACAAACACGTGTATAGAAACTAGCCAATAGTTACTAGATTTCTACACTTCAAAATGTAAAAACATTCAATAAAAACTGAAACCAGGGCCTAAAATTAACATTTGCCAAGCGCCAAATTCGAGTAAAAATCGGTCTTGGCGAGTATACGGTGTCGATCGGCCAATTTACATTTTTTGACTTTTTTTTAATAAATTCTAACAATGCAACATGAACGTAAACAAACATGAACGACTCTCGGGACAGTTGAAAGGGATTAGTGTTGCATCGTCATGAAAGTTTAAGCCTTAGTTGCCAATTTAAATATTTAAGCTCAAGAAGACGCGAAAGGGAACTCAATTTGTTACTCGTGTGCTGTGTGGGAATTTTTCTGTGCGCAAACATCCGAAGCATGTGCCCAGAAATCCACGTCTCAGCGCCAATACTGAATTGAGCTCTCTTTCACATCTTATTGCGCTTAAACAGACATATTAAAACAAAATTATGTAAAAAAAATGCAGCCTAATATTCTTGCTGCTGTCAGTTTTTAATGTTAATCACACAACAAAAGACAAAGAACAATTACTCATTGCTCTTGACTTGAATAACATTTGTTACTTTAATTAGGATTAATCTGTTTCCTGGCTGTTAAAAAATATTTATGGTCATTTTTTATTCTCAAGTCTCCGGCCATTGGCAGGTGCCGCAAAAAGTTAGTTTTAGGGCCTGACTGAAATATTTAAATAGTGTTTGACTATCACAGTTGCGCATTCTTATGGTTAGTAATTGAACAAACTCCGAACCCTATAAGAATCTTGTATTAAACATTCATGAAATGTAAAATCTAGTATTGTGTGTACCTGACAGTTGCACGTCACACAGAGATCATCCGGGTCCTGGAACGTTTGGCCGTTTTCATACAAACGCTGCTTGTAATGGCACTGCCCACAGGAGTCACAGCACTCCCCACCTGTCACATATTTATCAAAACCTTCTCAATAACTTATTCTAACTTAACTTATTAGTTATCTGTCCTGCCTGATGGAGAGTTATAGATGTTAGCAACCATTACACCCTCTTAGCATTGTAGGAACACTCACAATGTGAGGTGTTCTAAACAGACTGCTATGGAGATATTTTTGGTGCAAAACTACTGAACGCCTGTGACAGTGGAATTTGTAGTTGTATGTAGAGAATAGCCACACATGTGTATCAGTAAATTTGAAGTCACAGAGAGAAATGTTTTAAGAGTTGCAAACTTGTAGACTTTTTTTATCTTCCACAAACACAACACAACAGTTACACCTTCTCAAATTCTTCATTGCAGGTGCACAAATCCTATTCTACAAATCACAAATGAAGCTCACATTTTTGCTACAGCTGCTGCAGTGAATATGGTGCAAAACGCATTTACACACCTGCATCAAAACATGTGAAGTCACGGAGAGATTTTGCTCATCTGCAAATCAGTATGTGAATTCATCCAATGAGAGTTGCACACTTATAGAATATTTTCTCACAAATGTCTTGTATATTTTTCTAGCACAAACACAAGAACATAACTACAGCTGCTTGAATCTGCTGCGACTCTCAAACACAGTTTTTCGCTTTCAAGTGACAAGTTTCGCGCGCTCTCCCTTTTGCACCAAGTGCACCGTGAAATGTGGTGCAAAAGTGAGTTGTGCATCTGTAGAGGCAGTGGGCGGAGCCAACATTAATATTCATGAGGTGAGTTGTGGATCTGTAGAGGCAGTGGGCGGAGCCTGCATTAATATTCATGAGTTTCCCGGGTGTAACGAAGTGCGGTTGAAGCAGAGATGAAGCAGGATCCAAATGCAACACACGCTTTATTTAACAGACTATAAACTAAACTTCGATACAGGACTCGGGACTCAGGAACAGGATACAAGAACAACCAACATCAACGTTAACAGTCAAACATTAAACAAGAACTCACAAAGACAAGGCTGAAACACAGGGCTTAAATAATCAGGGACAAACGAGCTAGATAAGATGATCAGGGGGCGTGAGAAATCAGAAACACCTGGGATAACTAATAGACAAGACAGGGAACCATAGAACATGACAGGACACAAACCCACATCGTGACACCGGGCATGCGCTGGAACTGCTCATTCTAGTTCACGCTCCTCGTTTCTCAGCAGGTTTAATAGATTATTTCAAAAAAGGTAAATATAGTTTCAGCGCGAACTTAAACTACAATTGTGTATCGTTTCGTTAAGTTCATAATGTTTTTATTAATTAGTCACTGACTGAATGATTGCTGGCATTCACTTCGTGTAGGCCTATATAAAGTACAGCAAACTTCAACTCGTCGTATAAATTGCACCTTGCGAAGCTTTAAAACTGTGGCTTTTACTAATTGTTATCATTTGTTGATTGCAATAAATTAAATAAACCCTCATAAATGTATCCGTGGGCTAACACTTTTTAAAAATATATACAGTGTTTCCTCAAGGATTTTTTCCAACTGTGGTGGCAGGCCCATTTCCCCAGGGGGAGGGGGCGTGGCCCATGAGTGATATTCCCATTGGCCACACCCCCTTGTCCCCGATTATGCGCATCCTGTGCGCAATGGTTCAGTCACAGCGTGCAGCGCTTCGCATTGAAAAGTTCAAAGCACAAAGCGAAGAGAAGAGATTATATCTATCTAAGCTTAGTGTATTCTATCTATGCAACAGTTTATTGAGCCTTTTTTTTTAACAGTTTTAAATTTCAGTTACAGTGCGCATGAAGACCAAATCATAGCGCTCTCTACTCCAGTGCTGTAATCTAACAGACACCCGGGAGAAGGGAATATGATTTAGAAAGCGCAATAAACTCCAGCAAGATAAAGTCATTTTATGGAAACTATAGACCTTTATCTACAAAAAAAAAAAGTATAATAATGGGAACATTGATCTTGAAGAGAGTGTCGTCGTGTAACTGTCGTAACCGAACGCGACGCGCTGTTTGAATGCTGAATGGAGAATGACTGAGGAGAGATGAGTTTTCATTAACTTTAACTTAAAGGTATTGTAGGTAGGATTTTTATAAAAAAAACTATTTTCCAAATTTGTTTAAACTTTCTGTATATATCAATGCATAATTAAAATGTAAGTACTCTGAAAAAGAAAGTATAAAAATCGAGTGTCTGTAGACCTCTCACGACTGTTTTAAAGACAGCTCATTATTTCCATTCACTCCACCCCCTCCCTTCTGGGCTCCTTCCAAAGCCACGCCCCCAAAACACATGAACTCGCGACTCCGACCGCTGAGCTGAAGACGCATTATTTACCTGAGACGAGCGGAGAGGAAGGAGTGCAGTGCATGTTGTGACATCATGTCAGAATCACATGTAATAAAAAAAATCTAACTTTATCAGTATGAAGATAAACAAATAAGATGTATTTTTGTACTCACTATCAAGCTAGCATATTGATATTGGTAAAGTTTAAAATATATATTTATTGATTCGCTAACGAGCTAGTTATCTATAAGGCAAAGCTAAAAACAGGTTGCATGATACACGTTTTTCCATTGCCATCATTTACACTGTGATGAAGATGAATTTCGTGTAACATTCATAACGTATATGGTGTTCTGCATGTAAGAGTTTCCATGATGAAAGCATTGTTGACTCTGATGAGGACTATCTGATAATCACTCTCCAGAGACAAGTACCGCATCGTCAGCTCGAGGACAGATAAATCGTTGTTTATCCAAAGACTTTTTGTTCATTACCTTTTCTAGTAACGTTACTGTCTTCCTTTTTTTGGCTGGTTTGCCTTCGTGAACTGCATATGTGAATTTTGATTGGTCTTTCTCTGCCATTGTTTTGTTGTTCCTAGGTTCCGTGCCTCTTGAATTCCTCAAATCAAACGGGTACGGGCAAGTGGGCAGGTCCTGTGTGGCAAAAGGGTGGTTGCCATGGTTGCGAGAGAGTGACAGTCGCCTAAGCAAATCCTTTGTTTCGTCCCAGATGGAAATAATGAGCTGTGTTTAGTGCAGATTAAATGGTCTCGAGTCACTCGATTTTTATACTCTTTTTATCAGAGTACTTACATTTTAATTATGCATTGATATATATAGAAAGTTTAAACAAATTTGGAAAAAAGTTTTTTATAAAATTCCTACCTACAATACCTTTAACGACATTATGCTATTGAGAGACTTTAGAAGTCTTGGAATATAGTGCGAAAACTTTATTGTGCTTTACAATGTTGTTTATGCCTTTAGTGGGGCTTAACAAATAACAAATATCGGACCTCACTGAGAAACTGCAACCGCCACGGCGGAATGAATGTAGCGGAAACACTGTATAATATATCCTGGTGTGATTGAAATGCACTTTTCATACGGATTACACAAGCAGAGAGCAGTCTGTTTTCTTTGTTTTGAATTGTTCTGTTTAAAAGTAGACATTTCAATATAGATATATTTCTCAGTTCTGTGAGGCAAGTAGGCTACCTTACGCTGAGTTTCGGTTCATTTATGAGACAAGCTCCAGTTCACGCGCCGGCGCCTCCGTTTCATGATGATCTAATGTCTGCTATATTTACTTCTTATTTATTAAATCCAGGTAATTGGTTGATGAAACATTGATTAAAATTAAGATACAATTAATAAAAAACGAAATTCACTTTAAAGAAAGGCTTTGTGCTTTCTGTTTGATGTCTCTGTGAAAGTTTTAGTGCCGCTTCCAGAACTGTCACGTCCGTAACATTGTTTTTTCCTCATAAATGCGAACACGAAAAATAAAATAAAATGAATATTTTATGTTCTGGGGAGAACCAACCCTTCTTCATCCAGTGGC